CAAGTTTTCTTTTTTCTTTCTTCAATTTTCCTATATGTAACTCATTAAATTTTAAGATTTTATAGCTTTTCGATTTTAGTTTCACGAGTTTTCAATTTTTAGATTTTTGAAGAAAAAAAACAAAGTTTAACCCCCGCCATCCGCCCAGATCTCAGTTGTGATAGTTTTTCATTCCTAATCAGACCGAAGGGCGGAGTTTAATTATAACAACAACATTTCTCTAAAAAAATCTACCCTTTTGGAAACATATTTCATATGATAATTTCTTGTAGAGAAATTAGGATTTTGCAACTAAACTTCGCCCTTCAGCTCACAACGAATAAAGCATTCATCACAATTGAGAGGGGGTGGGTGGGCGGGGCTTATATTTTGTCAATTTTTTCTTAATATACGAAGTCTTCTTTTCCCAACAAGAAACTGACAACATGTTTAACTTTCCTGTTGTTGAAAGAAAACTCCATATATTAGAAAAAAAAAAACAAAAATTAAGCTCCACCCACCCGCCCAGAACTCAGTTGTGACGAGTTTTTCGTTCCTAATCAGACCGAAGGGCGGAGTTTAAGTGTAACGTCAATATTTCTATAAAAAATTCTACCCTTTTAAAAACATATTTCACATGACAATTTCTTGTAGAGAAATGAGGATTTTGCAACTAAACTCCGCCCTTCAGCTCATGATGAATAAAGCATTTATCACAATTGAGGAGGGGTGGGTGGGCGGGGCTTATATTTTGTCCAGTTTTTCTTAATATATGAACTCTTCTTTTCCCAATAAGAAACTGACAACATGCTTAACTTTCTTGTTGTTGAAAGAAATCTCAATACCTATATTAAAAAAAAACAAAAATTAAGCCCCACCCACCCGCTCAGAACTCAATTGTGACGAGTTTTTCATTCCTAATCAGACCGAAGGGCGGAGTTTAAGTGTAGCGTCAACATTTCTATAAAAAATTCTACCCTTTTGAAAACATAATTATTTTATATGGCAATTTCTTGTAGAGAAATGAGGATTTAGCAGCTAAACTCCGCCCTTCAGCTCACGATGCATAAAGCATTGATCACAATTGAGAAGGGGTGGGTGGGCGGGGCTTATGTTTTGTCATTTTTTTCTTAATGTGTATATGAAGTCTTCTTTTCCCAACAAGAAACTGACAATATGTTTAACTTTCTTGATGTTGAAAAAAAACTATACCCATTAAAAAAAAAACAAAAATTAGGCCCCACTCACCCGCCCAGACCTAAATTGCAATGAGTTTTTCATTCCTAATCAGACTGAAGGGCGGAGCTTAATTGTAACATCAATATTTCTTTAAAAAATTCAACCCTTTTAAAAACATATTTCACATGATAATTTCTTGTAGAGAAATGAGGATTTAGCAGACTAAACTCCGCCCTTCAGCTCATGATGAATAAAACATTCATTACAATTGAGAAGGGGCGGGTGGGCGGGGCTTATATTTTGTCCATATTTTCTTAACATATGAAGTCTTCTTTTCCCAACAAGAAACTGACAGCATGTTTAATTACCCTGTTGTTGAAAGAACACTCTATATATTAAAAAAAAATTGGTCTAAAGAGTTTAGACAGTACTTCCCTCGCTGTCGGAAACTTGACGACTGCATGCCTATTGTGTTTTTTTTTCTCATTACATTTTTGTAGTGGGAATTTAAAAAAAAATTGCGATGACGTCATCAACATTTTTGCAAGGACACGTATATCAGTTGGGATAGATGTAGTGTAATACTAAGAATAAAATTATTATATTCTCAAATTTTCGGGAAAATGAATTGGGTCGTTTGAATATTGATTTGTAATAATCAATAAAATAACGAAACAATTTACTCACGTATACCTACGTATCAGAGGCAACTGAAAATCGTGTATGTATAAACATTGTTAATTTAAAATGACAGGCGTAACAGCATACGTGAGAGCCAAACACACAAACTGTAAACAAAACGACCGTCGGTTTTATTGCTTCGACTTCCGCTTATTATATAAAACATTGGGTTTTATTTTAATTCTTGACGGTGAAATTCACAATTGGTTGATTATAAACATGTCTATTTCACATTCGCGGAATCAAGTGAACGCATAAAACAAATGCAGGTCTGTAATGTTAAAGTCGATGTAAATAAGCGTGCTACCCTTATGTTTCAACCGAGTTTTTCCTTTAACAAATTTTGTGTCTACCAAATTGGGTTGGTTGGGGTGTAATACTAATAATAAGTGTTGCCTTTAATTTAATCAATAAAATAAATTGACTTCATTAATTTTTTTGAACCACCTCTTAAGAAAATCTAAAAAATATGAATGGAATGATAAATCACAAGTACAAACTCATCATATTTTTTGCATTTTAGATAGGATTTATTCAGCAAAATTTAAGGGTGACGTCATCAATTTTTTTAGGAGGGATGAACAAATACATTTTGAACAAAAGTTTACCATGCTTATAATAACTTTAAAATACTCCCAAGATTTCAAAGCATTCGGTTTTGTAATTCCTGATTAAATCGATAAAATAAATTCACGCCTTCATTAATTTTTTTGAGTCACCCTGCATATGCAAATCCAAAAATATGAATGGAATGATAAATCACAAGTACAGACTCATCATATTTTGTACATTTTAGATACGATTTATTCGGAAAACTTTTGAGCTGACGTCATCAGTTTTTTGTAGAAGATAACCAAATATATTTTGACTAAAAATTTATTATGCTCTTTATAACCTTAAAACATCTGCAAGATTTCAAAGCATTCGGTTTTGTAGTTCCTGATTAAATCAATAAAATAAATTTACGCATTCATTAATTTTTTTGAGTCACTCTGTATATGCAAATCCAAAAAATATGAATGGAGTGATAAATGACAAGTACAGGCTCATCATATTTTGTACATTTTAGATATGATTTATTTGGCAAACTTTCGAGCTGACGTCATCAAGTTTTTGGAGGGGATAAGCAAATATATTTTGACTAAACATTTATTATGCTCTTTATGACCTTAAAACATCTGCAAGATTTCAGAGCATTCGGTTTTGTAGTTCCTGATTAAATCAATAAAATATATTTACGCATTCATTAATTTTTTTGAGTCACCCTGTATATGCAAATCCAAAAAATATTAATGGAGTGATAGTTCACAAGTACAGACTCATCATATTTTGTACATTTTAGATATGATTTATTCCACAAACTTTTGAGCTGACGTCATCAAGTTTTTGGAGGGGATAAGCAAATATTTTTTGACTAAAGATTTATGATGCTCTTTATAGCCTTAAAACATCTGCAACATTTCAAAGCATTCTGGTTATCAGATTAAAAATTAAATTTCAAAATGTTGTTTTATAATTTTGATTTTTTTTCCAAAAATCTGGACGTTTCGGGTGAAAAGTCGATTCAGAGTTGTAAACTACATGTGTAGGACTATGTTATTTTATACAATTGAAAACCCATTTACTATGTACAATTTTGAAGTGACGTCATCGCATTAGTGGTGGGGATGATTAGACAAATTTTGGTTAGCGTTTTACCATCTACATGATATTCTTAATATAAGTACAAAATTTCACAACAATCGGTCGAGTACTTTCGGAGATTATCTGTCTAATAAAAATCCGTGACAACAGACGGACAGACGGACAGACGGACAGACGGACAGACAGACGGAAATGGGAGACCTATTTCTTCGTCTTCTAGGGGTCATGAAAGATCGAGAAAACGTAAAAGTAGAGAGTCGGCCGACGGACTCGATTACAATACTTCCTTTGCTTACGCTCGGGAAGTAAAAAAAAACAAAAATGAAGCCCCACCCACCCACCCAGATCTAAATTGTAATGAGTTTTTCATTCCTAATCAGACCGAAGGGCGGAGTTTAATTGTAACATTAATATTTTTCTAAAAAATTCTACCGTTTTAAAAACGTATTTCATATGATAATTTCTTGTAGAAAAATGAGGATTTTGCAACTAAACTCCACCCTTCAGCTATCGATGAATAAAGCATTCATCACAATTTAGAAGGGGTGGGTGGGCGGGGCTTAGACTTTGTCCATCTTTTCTTAACATACGAAATCTTCTTTTCCCAACAAGAAACTGACAACATGTTTAATTACCCTGTTGTTGAAAGAACACGCTATATATTAAAAAAAAGAAAACAAAAATTAAGCCCCACCCACCCGCCCAGATCTCAATTGTGATGAGTTTTTCATTCCTAATCAAACCGAAGGCGGAGTTTAATTGTAGCATCAATATTATTATAAAAAATTCAACCCTTTTAAATAAAAACATATTTCACATATAATTTCTTGTGGAGAAATGAGGATTTCGCAACTAAACTCCGCCCTTCATCACACGATGAATAAAGCATTCATCGCGATTGAGAGGGGGTCGATGGGCGGGGCGTATATTTTGTCCACTTTATCTTAATATATGAAGTCTTCTTTCCCCAATAAGAAACTGACAACATGTTTAACTTTCCTATTGTTGAAAGAAATCTCTATATATATATTAAAAAAAAAAAAATTAAGCCCAACCCACCCGCCCCGATCTCAATTGTGACGAGTTTTTCAATCCTAATCAGACCGAAGGGCGGAGTTTAATTATAGAATCAATATTTCTATAAAAAATCTACCCCTTTGAAAACATATTTCACATGATAATTTCTTGTAGAAAAATGAGGATTCTGCAGACTAAACTCCGCCCTTCAGCTCATGATGAATAAAACATTCATTACAATTGAGAAGGGGTGGGTGGGCGGGGCTTATATTTTGTCCGTATTTTCTTAATATACGAAGTTTTCTTTTCCCAACAAGAAACTGACAACATGTCTCTATATATTAAAAAAAAAATCGTACTGTAGGGGTCATGAAACGTCGAGAAACATAAAAGTGACAATTCGTCCGATTCGCATCCATCGCAATACAAAAGTACCATTACTTTCGTGGTTGAAAGACAACCAAGGTTAGTTTTTTGTTTATTAAGAACACAACTAAGGCCACTTTCGACTACCACTTTTATTACTAAAGTGTATGTACATAACAATAAATACCAAAAGAGAAATAAGAAAAATATAAATTATCCATAAACTCGTTACATTTAAGTGGAGAGAATCTTCTTATTTTTAATGACGAACTTCGACTTCTTTTCTACGATTCGTTTCCTTTTTCTGGAAGGTCTAACGTTCGCCTTCTCGTTATCCTCCTCGACGACTTCGTTCACCCTTTGACTAGCCTCCTCCTCCTCCGTCTGGACGCACACATCCACGTGCTTTTTCTCATCGTCTTTACAATTCTTACTTAAAACACCATTTGGAACTGGTACAGGAATGGGTATAGGAATAGGTATAGGTAAAGGTAGAATCAGAGGGTACGGTACCAAGATTGTCGGAGGCGGTACTAAACTATCCAGCAACTTCCTGCGATTAGCGGCTTCGTCGCTACATCCCTGCTGGTCCAGCCTGGAGTCGGCCTCCGCCACACTCGCCGCCTTAGGTTCGTCGCCCCTCAGCCTCGAACTCTCGAAGTCCGTCGGAGTGTGTCTCACTCTCAAATCCTGGGGCATCTCGCTGGAGAACGACTTGTTACTAACAGCCGGCACGCTCAAGCTCTTCTTCTTGCTCTTCTTCTGCACCTTGCCTCGTCTCTTGTAGTCGTCGTTCAGCGGAAGCGACATCAACTTCGACGGGTGCGCCACCGTGATGAGGGGCAAGGGTGAAGTTTGCTGTCGGGTTTCCAGCTTGGGCGACGATGAAGGTGACAGCTGGGTCTCGGGTGACTTGCATTTGTTCATCCAGAGGTCCGGGGTGATGAGCGTCCCCGAGGACTCGTCGCCGTGGATGTGCGGGTGGATCTCGAGGTGGGCGCGGGTTTCCCTCCAGAAGATGTGCATCTTGTACTGGTTGAGGCATTTGTCTGAGCAGAATTGGAGTTGGGACGTTCCGTCCTGCAAGCAAGACTTGACATACTTGTAATCCAGGGATCTTTGTTACCTGGGAATCGACGTACGAGACGGTGTGTCGGACGTGTCTGCACCAGTCGCACGTTTTGTTCTTCTTGAAGTTGGCTCTGCGCGACTGGGAGAAGCACAGCTCGGAGCAGAAGGTCGCCGCTGCCGAAGACAAGCCCGTGTTTTCGTCCACAGTCTTGCCGCACCAGCCGCAGCCCTCTGGAATTTTAATGCAGTGTTAGCAAAAATCGAGTCGTGGGTTTAAATTTGGTAAAGCGGTGTTTTGATTCGGTCGCACGTGGCCAGAGATCAAATAAATGGTTCCCATATTTCAAAGTTGGCGTAAAACGTACGAGAGGTAAAGGCATCACGGACACGCGCGGGCTAATATTACACAGTCTAGAAATAACCGCTGGGATTATCTTACAGATTCGCCTAAAACGAAAATGCCAGCCCTAGATTCAGGTTTATAGAGCGGAGGCAAAAAGTTCGGCTTTGGGTGCAGCGAAGGTGTAGAGGAGGACGCGGAAGGTGGTGTTGGACAAGAATAAAAAAGATGTTGGGGATGAGTCGAGTGCCAGGTGTACGAAAATTGTTACAACTGTCTTACGAATTTTATTTACACTGATTTTTGTTTTGTATATACCTGTCCTATTATTATCGAATATTGAAAAACATACTAAATAAATATTGAAAGCAAACAAAACAACAAATGCCCAACTATATAACACTAACTAGTCAAAATTTGCCGGTAGTTTATTTTCATGGACCATGTACACATCAACACGAAACGTACAAATTTTGAGGAATGACACATTTAAACAAAAATTAAAAAATAAATAACTTTGCGGTGACAGATACACATGTAGTAATAACAATGAAAAAAAAAAATACGCAGGTTTTCGCCGAAATATGATTAAGAAAATAAAATAAATATGAAAATAGTAACAATAAAAATTAGTTTAAAACATAAAAGTAGGATGATTCTACCTCCATGGTTTAAGGTTATTTAAATAAAAGAAAATAAAACGCCACGAATCAGGCTACAAAAAGTAACCATAAAAGCGATATAAAAAAGGTTACCTAAAAAAGGATAAAAGAAAGATCGACAAAAAAAAGAAATGGAGAAAAAACAAAAAAAAAAATATAGAAATAAAGGGTAAAAAAGGAATAAAACACGAAAAAATAGCGCAACAAAAAAAAATACAAAAAAGCGCCCCAAAAAGTTACAACAAAAGACGAGAAAACACGACAAAATTGGCAAAAAAAACTACAAATACAGGATGAAAAAAAAGCAGTCGACGAAAAAAGAGAGCAAAAAAAGGCAAAAAATATAAAAAAGAGCAAAAAAAATTAAGAAAGGGCAACAAAAAAGTGGCGACAGAAATCTAAAAAAAATAAGAGCAATAAAAAGTGAAAAAAAGCGACGAAAAAAACGTGAAATAATGCAATTAAAGTGACACAAAAATGCGTCAAAAAAGTTAGGGAAAACCCGACAAAAAAAGGCAACGAAAAAAGCGACTAAAAAAGTTAGGAAAAAAATGCTGGGAAAAAAGAAGCCGAAAAAACACAACAACAAGAATAAAAAAAGACAAAAGGAAGCGGCAAATAAATGACAAAGAGAACACAAAAAAAGACAAAAAACATTCAACAAAAAAAAGGTAGCAAGAAAAAGGCGAAAAGAAAAAGGCAACACAAAGTGATCAAAACAGGGCTACAAAAAGACGACTAAAAAAAAGAGTGACCACAAAAATGCGAAATAAAGGCGAAAAAAGGACGACAAAAACGATGAGAAAAAAGGCGAAAAAAAAACAGCATAAAAAAGACAAGAAAAATGCAACAAAAAAAGTGTCTACAAAAAATCGAGTGAAAAGATGCTAAAAAAATTCGAAAAAAAAACGACCAAAAAACAGAATAAAAAAGCCTAAAAAATGCAACAAAGAAAATGACTAATGACAAAAAAACGGTCATAAATACGACAAAAAAAACAGGATGAAAGGAACAAAAGTCCAAAGAGAAAGGCGAAAGGCGAAAAGGGTAACAAAAAATTACAAGAAAAAAAGGGCGACAAAAATACAACAAACAAAAACAAAAAAATACAAATAAACCGGCAAAAAAAATTACCAAAATGGCCACAAATAAAAAACACAAAAATATGCAACAAAAAAAAAGGCGACAAGAAAAAGGCGAAAAGACAAAGACAACAAAAATGCGATTAAAAAAATTTAGAAAAAAAAATAGACTAAAAAATGCGACAAAGAAAATGTCGAATGTCAAAAAAGTACGGACATAAAGGCGATGAAAAACGTTACAAAAAAGGACAAGAAAATTGTCGGCAAAAAAAAAGCAAAAAAGGCAACAAGCAAAAAAACCTATACAAAACAAATGGAGAAAATTGAGATAATTCGAAAAAAGTGAAAAAAAGGACAACAAAAACGATGGGAAAAAGGGGAAAAAAACCAACAAGAAAAGACAAAAAAATTAGATTATAAAAAAAGACCAAAAAAGTTTAAAAAATGCAACAAAAAGTTGCGAATGACAAAAAGCTACGGTCCTAAAGGCGAAAAAAAAAGAGAATGAAAGAAACTGTGAATGAAAAAAAGGAGCAAAAAGAAAGTTAAGAAAGAAAACGATAAAAACAAAAAAAATCAGAGCACCAAAAAAAAAGGCGAAAAAAGGCTAAAAAATATGACAAATAGAAAAATTCAAAAAAAGGGGGAAAAACCGACAAAGAATGGAAAAAGAGTCATAAAAATTGCGATAAAAAATAAAAAAAAAAAACACCAAAAAAAAGATGGTGACAAAAAATTACAGGAAAAAAGGGCGACAAAAATACAACAAAAAACAACAATAAAATTACAGAGGAAGCGGCAAATAAATGACCAAAATGTCCACAAAGAAATTGACGAAAAACATGCAACAAAAAAAGGACAAGAAAAAGGCGAAAAGACAAAGGCAACAAAAGCGATTAAAAAAGTTGAGTGAAAAAGAGACTAAAAAATGTAACGAAGACAACGTCGAATGACAAAAAAAATACGAACATAAAGGCGATAAAAAACGTTACAAAAAAAGGACGACAAAACAGTCGACAAAAAAAAGAGAAAAAAAAGCAACAAGCAAAAAACTGATACAAAAGAAATGGGAAAAATTGAGAAAATTCGAAAAAAAGTGAAAAAATGGACGACAAAAACGATGGGAAAAAGGCAAAAAAAAAACAAAAAAAGGGCAACCAGAAAAAAAAAACGATACAAAAGAAATGGGGAAAATGAGAAAAGGGCGACAAAAAAAGTGACAACGAAAATTCGAAAAAAGGCAAAAAGAAAGGATAACAAAAACAACGACAAAAAAAGGCGAAAGAAAGGAGCAAAAAAAAAGCTGACAAAACAAGTCCACAAAAAATTCGGCAAAAAAAATGCAACAAAAAAATCGAGAAAAAAAAAGAAGACAAAAAAAAGCGACAAAAAAACGACCAAAAAAAAAGAAAAAAAAACACACAAAAATGTCTAAAAGTACAAAAAAAAAGTGACTAATGACAAAAAAACGGTCATAAATGCGACAAAAAAACAGGATGAAAGAAACAGTGGAAATGAAGAAAGTAGGTAGAGAAAATTCTACAAGCAAAAGAACGATAAAGAAACCAAAAAAATAAAAAAGGACGCCAGAAAAGATGAAAAAAGCGGCAAATAATGGAAAAAGTGTCTTAAAAAATTGCGGCGAAGAAAATAAAAAAATCGCGACAAAAAAATGACTACTTAAAAAAGAAAAGTGTGGAAAAAAAACTGGAAAAAGAGGGTGACAAAAAACGACGGAAAAGGGGGCTAAAAAGCACCAAAAAGCACAAGAAATGACGGGAAAGAGGATCAAAAAAAGCCCCAAAATATTGGACAAAAAGTGACTAGAAGAACGCGAAAAAGATTACAAATAAACGAAAAGAAAAAAGAAGCCAAATAATCACAAAGAAGCAATAAGGAAAAAGGTCACAAAAAAGGACGAAAAAAAAGGCAAACAAAAAGACGTTATCAAAAAGGAGTAACGAAAAACGCGGTTACAAAAAAAAAGTATAAAACCGCAGCAAAAAAAAGACAGGAAAAAATGAAAGCAAGTAACAAAAAAAGCGACCATAAGTGACAAAAAGAGTCGAAATCCGCGATTAAAGAATATGACGAAGAAAAGAAAAAATGCAAGAAAAAAAACCGAAAAAAATGCAGCGGAAAAAAAGGCGGAATAAAAGTGACAAAAAATCAGGCCGAGAAAATGCCTCGTGAGGAGGAACAAAGCAAAAATATACTGTAAAATAAATCCATGAAACAAAAACTGATTACAAAAGTGTTAAGAATAAGTACAGGTGGCTCCAAAGAGCTACCTAATTCATAAGAAATCAGAATGTCATACATAAGTAAAGAGGGAAAATTTGCAAGTTAGATATTTCTAAATATTCAAAATTCATTTTGTCCAAAGTGCTAAAAAGAATCACAAAGAAAACAAAAATGAAAAGAAAACAATTTACTGTTTTAAAGTAAACTATATCTCTATTCTCTACAATTTTTTTCATGTATATTTTTTTTATTTCATAATTAATTAATTTCCTGTTCTTAGAAATTTTTAACATGAAATTGAGCAAAAGTAGTAAATCAGTAATTCTTCATTGACAAAAAAAGTAGGCTTCAAGAACAGAATGGTGAACGAACAAAATTGTCAGAGACTGCTATATTATCAACTAAATACCTAATTAATCTGAAAATAAATGAAACTACCACAAAAATGATCAAATTGAACTCAAAATAAAAAGCAGTTTTTCATTATAAAAATTGACAGAAATAAAAAAGAGAAAGCTAGCGAAATTATTCTGCGATCATTTGTGAAGAGAAAATTTTAGTTTGTTATATTGCTTTCGCATATTTAGTAACAGTACGCAATTTTGATCCGAAAAATGTAACCACATTAATTATTTAGGAAGGAAAACTGAGGACAACCTTCGACTACAATCTAACTACAAAAATCGCATTCATAGATATTACAAACGGAAGCATTTGATTAATTACGTCCAATGTCTCTGTCTATGTGTCCCGAACAAAGCCTCAAGAACGAAACGAAATAGGGCAGCTTGATATTTCCGGGAACTCCACCCCTCGCACCAACAAAGTCCAATAGAAGCGTGTCATCAATCAGGTGTTAATTGTGCATGTTTAACCGTGAAGAAGGTTCGAAATATTTTGATTGGCAACGGAATTCCACGAATAGCATACATGCTGAGGCACGTTTCAAGGAAATTATCGATAAAACTTCTTCGCACAATGGAAAATTCGTACCTGGAAGTTGGAGGTGCTACGCGTTGTGGATTTTTCCCGCCCCGTTTTTGTGCTAACAAAACACTAGGTGTTGAATAAATAATTCGGCGGATGATTTTTGGGCTGAATTTTTCATGAATGTTTTTGTGCATACATTTCCGGCTGTGGATAAGTCCGGCATAAAAAATGCAATTATGAATTCCGACCGCGAGTAATTTGAATACTTTTCCATAATTCTAACGAGCAATTTAATACTGATTAACATTCTTGTAATTACGATCATTGATTGAACAATAACGAGTAAAGGGCGGATTCTAGGGGAGATTATTTGAGCCCTATTTGTTTTTGCCTGTTAAAGTTTTTCCTGCCTATTTTGTTCTAAAATCTGATTAGAAAAATATTTAAAAATGAAACCGCGGAAATTTCTAATTTTAAATATCCTCTTTTTACATCGTGTGATGATGAGAGAACGAAAATTAGGATCGCTGATTATGTAAAATAATGAAATGAAACGGTTTACCGTTAAACTTCGGGGACTCCGGTCCAGAGCTGTTGCTTCCAGAATGCGACCTGCACGCCCTCGCATCCCTGTGATTGGCATTACCATACCCATACCAGCCCAGAAGCTCGTTCATGGCTGTCTCGGCAAATTCCTGCAACACACCACCAGTGACTCAATACAGTAAAATCTCCCCAACGCCAGGAATTTCCTCAACCTATTCGTAAGCCGATTGCTAATCAATTTAGCGGAAAAAATCCACGACACTCAGGTGTTGGGTATTTGTTAGGCCAGGGTGTCTACGCCTAGTTTCCTATTCTAATTAAACGGCGCTGTTATTAATAATCGGAGCTACCCGATGCTTGTTTAAGAGAAGGCGAAATTGGATCCCCCGGTTTCATTCCTACATATCGCGTTTCTCTCTTGATGCAGTTTTAACACGAGGAGTTGCAGTTTGCGAAAACGATAGCCGCTCCAAGGTACAAACGCGGCTTCAATTTGCATAAGTGCGACGGTGCTTCGAAGAAAAAAGTTTCAAGTATGGAGGGGCAAAAATGCTATTTTTGTTAAGCGTTGTTGAAAAGTCGATTAAAATATTCACCTGAAATTAAATCACGTTTATTTAATTCACTCGCAGAACGTAAGGAAGACGGCGGGAAATACGAGTCGCGATAAAAAGAACGAGAAATTCGATGCACTTCGTAACTAGATGCAACTAAAAATGCATCTGCAAATAAAACAAATTTAAGCAAGCGAAATATTACCCTGGAAAATAATACAGTAATTAATTTATGAATTTTTAATGGCGGGATGGGAGAGTCGGCAGGAGCGTCGCAAAATTTTCCGGGAAAGAAAAGCGGCATGGGAAACCGAGGCAAATTGGCGAAAAAAAGTTTTCATTAGTCAAGTTAATCACCAATAAAACTAGATCTCGATAGTAGAAAGGAACTGAAAATAATTGACCAAAATTGATTTTGAAAGCATTTTTTGCAGAGAGGAAACAAAGTTAGAAGAATTCAGCACATATGGTGTTGAAACAACAAAAAATTTTCACTCTGGAATCATTATTATTTCATCGGTTTCTTCTACCATCTGATCCTTTAATAACATATTTAAGGAATTTTTTTTAAATGTAATGTAATTAAATGATATAGAGCAAATATAATCTACAATTTCAAGATTGTGAGATGAATTTTGATAATAATGTAATAATTTATAACTGAAATTCTAACCGTTTCAAAAATAAAACAAACGAGTGTCCAAGATTCTTTCAAACACTTTCAAAAATAGAACACAAGGGATATCCGAGATTCGTTTGGACTCTTTAAATAGAAGGTGTCCTGAGATTCTTTTAAACTCTTTCGAAAATGAAGCAAGAGGGGTTCTAGAGATTTTTTTCAAAAATTAAACAGAAGGATTCTCACGAGATTCCTTCAAACTCTTTCAAAATTTTACAGAGGGGATCCCCGAGATTGTTGAAATTAGTTCAAAAATAAAACAGGAGTCCTCAAGATTCTTTTAAACCCTTCCAAAAATGAAACAGAAGGCTATCTAAGATTCTTTCAAACTCTTTCAAAAATAGAACAACAGGGATCACGGGAATCTTTTAAATTCTTAGAAAAAAGAAGCAGTTCTCGAGAATCTTTCAAAATCTTTCAAAAATAAACACTTGGGATTCTCAAAATTCTTTCAGAAATAGAACAGAATCGGTCTTTAAGATTCTGTCCAAAGCAAACAGAAGGATCAAACACTTTCAAAAGTACTTCTTTAAAATTTTTCAAAAATGAAATGAGAAGGATCTTTGAGATTCTCTTAAACTCTTTCAAAAATAACACACAAAAACAATTAATACAAACACAAGGGATCCCTGAGATGCTTGCAAACTCTATCAGAAATAAAATAGGAAGGTTCTTTCAAACTCATAATTTTTTTCATAAATTAAACAAGAGTTCGCAATATTCTTTCAAAATCTTTTAAAAACAAAACAATAGGGACCCCGAAATGTTTCCAAACTCTTTAAAAAATAAAGCAATGAAGATCCCGAGAATCTTTTAAATTCTTAAAAAAAGACGAAGAAGTCCCCAAGAATCTTTCAAAATTTTTCAAAAATAAAAGAAACGGGGTTCCCAAGATTCTTCCAGAAATAAAACACAAGTAAATTTCTGAGATTCATTTAAACTCTTTCAAAAATAAAACACAGAGGGTCCCAGAATTACTGTCAAACTCGATCAAAAATAAAATTGGAATGGTTTCCGAGATTCTTTGAAACTCTTTTATAAATATAAAAGATTTTGAAAGAAATCTGTTTAATTAAATAGTTTTGGATTTTCTTTAAAAATCTTTCAAAAATAAAACAACCAAAATCCCGAGAAATTTTTAAATTCTTCCAAAAAAAAAAAAAACAGGAGTCCTCAAAAATCTTTCAAAATCTTCCAAAAATGATACAAACCGGGTCTAGAGACTCTTTCAGAAATAAAATAGAATCGGTCCCTGAGATTCTGTCAAACTCTGTCAAAAATAAAACAGGGATCCCGAGATTTTTGTAAATTCTTTAAAAAAAAGCGGAAGAATTTCTCGAGAATCTTTCAAAAATAAAACAAAAGTAAAATGAAACAAAAGGAATCTCTGAGATTCATTTGAACTCATTCAAAAATAAAACACAAGGGGTCCCAAAGCTACTGTCAAATTCTATCAAAAATAAAATAGGAACGGTTTCCCAGATTCTTTGAAAATATGTATTTTGTAAATTAAAATGAGTTCTTGATATTCTTTCAAAATCTTTCAAAAACAAAATCACAGGAACCCAGAGATTCTTTCAAAATCGTTCAAAAATAATATAGGACTCCCCGGGGTTCTTTAAAACTCTTTAAAAAATAACACAACAGGAATCTCGAGAAATTTTTAAATTTTTTCAAAAAAAAAAAAAATTGGAGGAGTCTCAAGATTCTTTCAGAAATAAAACAGAATCAAACTGAGATTCTGTCAAACTCTGTCAAAAATAAAACAACAGGAATCCCGAGATTCTTATAAATTCTATAAAAAAAGCGGAAGAAGTTCTAGAGAATCTTTCAAAATCCTTCAAAAATAAAAGAAACGGGATTTCCAAGATTCTTTCAAAAATAAAACAGAATCGATCCCTGAGATTCTGTCAAACTCTTTCAAAAATAAAACATTAGAAACCCCCGAGATTCTTTCAAACTCTTTCAAAAATAAAACAAAGTAGAATGAAACAGAAGGAATCTCTGAGATTCATTTAAACTCTTTCAAAAATAAAACACAAAGAGTCCCAAAGCTACTGTCAAATTCTATCAAAAATAAAATAGGAACGGTTTCCCAGATTCTTTGAAACTCAACAGGAATCTCGAGAAATATTTAAATTAAAAAAAAAACAAAACAGGAGGAGTCCCCATAAATCTTTCAAAAATAAAACAAACCGGGTCTCAAGATTCTTTCAGAAATAAATTAGAATCAGTCCCTGAGATTCTGTTGAACTCTGTCAAAAATAAAACAACAGGGATCCCGAGATTCTTTTAAATTCTTAAAAAAAAGTCCAAAAAGTCCTCGAGAATCTTTAAAAAATAAAAGAAATGCGGTTCCCAAGATTCCTTTAGAAATAAAACAGAATCAATCCCTGAGATTATGTCAGACTCTTTCAAAAATAAATTATTAGGAACTCCCGAGATTCTTTCAAACTCTTTCAAAAATAGAACACAAGTGAAATGATACAGAGCGAATCTCTGAGATTCTTTCAAAATTAAACACAAGGAGTCCCAGAGTTACTGTCAAATTCTATCAAAAATAAAATAGGAAGCTTTCCGAGATTCTTTGAAACACTTTTATAAATTAAACAGAGTTCTTGAATTCTTTCAAAATCTTTCAAAAACAAAATAACAGGAACTCTCAGATTCTTTCAAAATCGTTCAAATATAATACAGAAGGACTCTCCGAAATTCTTTAAAACTCTTTAAAAAATAAAACAGCAGGAATTCCGAGAAATTTTTGAATTCTTTAAAAGAAAACAGGAATCTTTCAAACTCTTGTGAAAATAAAACAAGCGGGGTTTCGAGATTCTTTCAGGAAAAAAATAGAATCTGTCCCTGAGATTCTGTTGAACTCTGTCAAAAATAAAACAACAGGGATCCCGAGATTCTTTTAAATTCTTAAAAAAAAAGTCCAAAAAGTCCTCGAGAATCTTTCAAAAATAAAAGAAATGCGGTTCCCAAGATTCTTTCAGAAATAAAACAAAATCAATCCCTGAGATTATGTCAGACTCTTTCAAAAATAAAATATTCGAAACTCCCGAGATTCTTTCAAACTCTTTCAAAAATAGAACACAAGTAAAATGATACAGAACGAATCTCTGAGATTCTTTCAAAATTAAACACAAGGAGTCCCAGAGTTACTGTCAAACTCTATCAAAAATAAAATAGGAAGCTTTCCGAGATTCTTTGAAACACTTTTATAAATTAAACAGTTCTTGAATTCTTTCAAAATCTTTCAAAAACAAAATAACAGGAACCCTTAGATTCTTTCAAAATCGTTCAAACATAATACAGAAGGACTCTCCGAAATTCTTTAAAACTCTTTCAAAAATAAAACAGCAGGAATTCTGAGAAATTTTTGAATTCTTTAAAAAAAAACAGGAATCTTTCAAACTCTTGTGAAAATAAAACAAGTGGGGTTTCGAGATTCTTTCAGGAAAAAAATAGAAAATGTCCCTGAGATTCTGTTGAACTCTGTCAAAAATAAAACAACAGGGATCCCGAGATTTTTTTAAATTCTTAAAAAAAAAGTCCAAAAAGTCCTCGAGAATCTTTCAAAAATAAAAGAAATGCGGTTCCCAAGATTCTTTCAGAAATAAAACAGAATCAATCCCTGAGATTATGTCAGACTCTTTCAAAAATAAAATATTAGGAACTCCCGAGATTCTTTCAAACTCTTTCAAAAATAGAACACAAGTAAAGTGATACAGAACGAATCTCGGAGATTCTTTCAAAATTAAACACAAGGAGTCCCAGAGTTACTGTCAAACTCTATCAAAAATAAAATAGGAAGCTTTCCGAGATTCTTTGAAACACTTTTATAAATTAAACAGTTCTTGAATTCTTTCAAAATCTTTCAAAAACAAAATAACAGGAACCCTTAGATTCTTTC